CTCCGCTCTTTGCATCAGTGGCTTCCTAGATTCGAGCGAGGGCATTTGTGTAGCTGAGATGTGTGTCTACGTGAAAGAGCATGTAGAGAGAGTTGCATTGGCATCCGCATCAAGCGCATTGCGCATTTTTCGAATTTTGGCCCCCTTCCAGGGACCTTGATTTTTACCCGCTCGGATTCCCGGTTCCCGCATGCCTATTATCCGTGAAAATCCATAAATATGCGAGAATTCCCGCCTTTTGAAAACGGTGGCGGGCTGTTCGTTTTTTCGACGCGGGAATCCCGTCGTCCTGGCGTGTTGTTGTTGTTGTTTCTGACAATGATTGTCCACAAAAAATGGGGAGCCCGTGGTCTCAAAACCCGGCACACACGACGCCGCAGGAAAACAAAACAAAAATGGGGTACAAACCATTCCCACACGCGCCCAAAGAAAAAATCGCAGGGTAACGTACCAGCACCACCAGGCACTACGCACGAGGGCATGGGAGTAACGGAGCAAACAGGACAAATAGGCGGCAGATGGGCAGACAGCCAGACGTACAAAAACAAAGGCAACAGCAAGCGAGATCAAGGTACCCAACACAGCAGAGTAGGCAGGGAGGTCATGAAAAAAAGAAACACAGCACAGGGGCCAAGGCAATACAAAGGACATAAATAAAGGAGTATAGCATGCAGCAGGGAGGGAAACAGGGCGCAACAACATCAGCCGGGTACATAGTTCGCCACAAGTGCTGCCTCGGCCGCCCTACTCGCTTCTACAGCAGTGCCCGGTCGCCGTTTCTTCGCCCCCACCGCCGGTTCCCCGACTCTCTCTCTCTTCGGCGCTGAGATGGCCGTACTCTGCTTTTTTTCTGCTTCCCTCGCGCGCTGGCGCTTCGCGGACGCTTCCGCCTCCTGCCTGTGCCATTTCCTCATGAACCATGCCGCCCCGTCCTCGACCTTGTTGTACCACTCCTCCGGATCCTTGGCGCTCTCTTTCCATTTCCCCCCTTCCTTTTCGTCTCCCATGTTGAAGGCCATGAGGTCCTCTCGTAGACGAGACACCCAGTCGCTCTCCTGCCCGCCCAGGTACGTGTGTTTTAATGTTAAGAGTCAATTCCCGCATGATTGCATTTGGTCCAACAGCAATTCCCGCGGCAGAACTTCGTGACAGAGAGGAACCAGACAGCCAGCGTCCTTTTACTGCATGCAGGAGACATCGTCAACAAGCCACCTCTCTATTCGCCACATCAAGTCTCAGGGAACGCAACATTAGCATAAAGCCGATATCACCAGCCGCACGACAGGCACCATATTGTACAATGTGGCTGTGCGGGCGCTTGGTTGCACACCTAGCGCGCTGAGGCGCAAGGTGCATGCGTCCCTTCCCCAGTGCGCAGTCACAGTCGTGCTTGCGGCATCGCCTTTTTCGCAACAGGGACTGTAACACCCACACCCAAAAACCTGAAATGCACTCATCACGTGCCATAACACCTTTCAAGCTCGAACCCGTTCGTTGAAGTGTGCATTGCTTTCACTCCATTCCATTATTCGGTGGAGCGTGGCCATGTGCATGCTGCTTCGTCAAGGGGTAGCGTGGGCATTCATTCTGGGCCTTTGTTTACGCATAGTCTAGACGGTGTTGCGGTGTTCCTGTGGCGTGTACTGCTGCTGTAAAAACACGCGAAGTTCTGAAGCCTGATACAGGATGGATTCAGTTTCTGTTGCCGATGCAGTGCCGGCCCGCACTTAAGAACCTCCTATTTTGGGCGAGGCTCAGTTCGTATTGGCTGCCCCAACCCGAGCACTAGTTCTTATTTGCCGAGTTCTTATTTCGTCGTCCATTCTGTCAAGAAGGCGGTCTACCCACTAGACTACGGCTTAGCAGTCGAGTGGGTAGATCGCTTTCTCAACAAAGGCTATGTCGTGGGTTCGAATCCCGGCAGGAGCGATTCTTTTGAGAGAAAGTCTTGGTCAGGCCTAGGAATTCAGGAGTGCGCGGCGAGGGGTGTAAGACCTCGGAGATCCCTGCCGGTGAATCCACACAGCATATCTTTTGTCAAGAAAGCGGTCTACCCACTAGACTACTTAGTCGCGCGACTAAGTAGTCTAGTGGGTAGACTGCTTTCTTAACACATTCTTCTCCAGAAAGGGGCGTTCTTGTTGTTACAGTATTTTAACATCATTTGCTATATTGTCGGCTGTCAACCATGAGCAACAGCTGTCGATACAAGAAAATACCAAGGCATGGAGCAGCAACTGTCAACCTTCTTGGTCCACAAGGGTGACGTTGGTCCTGCGTGCCCTTCCTGATCTACTAATGCTCTCAAGCAAAACCCAGGAGCTTACAGCCGCATCCGAATCTCCGCTGTACTTGTCTATAATGGCAACTTCATCTTGCGCGTACTCTGGTCTAGCTCCAGCTGCACACAAATAGTAGTCGTACAGGTGGCGAGTGTCCTGCTGAGCTTCCTGAATAATCAACCCTCCAAACCACCCCATGCCCAGCCTAACAAGCACTCCACGCCGCAAAAGCAATCTGTCAAGAGCAACGGGGTTAGCTTCTTGAATACGAAAGCCTGCCGGGATCTCCATTCCCTGTATCTCATCCTCCGGGTCTTGTGGGTCCATGCTGTCGTCGTCGTCCAGAAGAGCTAGCTCGTCGGTCTGGGGTTTAGAGATGTCTGCGAACGAGGCAACAGGAAACACAAGAAGTTAGGGTGTCACGTCGCCAAACCCAACCTGAACTTATAATAATTTGAGTGTTGCCGTGCGCGGAAACAAGCTAACGTCAACATGAAGGACATCGTCATCAACAAAAAGAAGATGAAAAGTTGGTTTTGTGCAAAACAAACTTACCGCCGTCGTCTTCATCGCTGGAGTCAACGCCTTCCATGAGCGTCTCACGTCCTCCATCGTCCTCCTCCGCCCGCCCCTCAGGCTCATCGTTGCCGTTCTCCGAACCTTGTTCGTCGTCGCTACTGTCTTCATCGTTAGCGAAGGTATACGGCTTGTCCAAACCCTCCAAGGTGATTCAATCATCTCCTGAGCCGTCCACGGTCATGGCCATGCCGCACTTTTCGAAAAGACGGTGTCGGTACGCCTGTTGGCTGTTGAGTCTTGCCATGGCCGCTCCCATCCACTGAGTGATCAGGACGCGCCGATCAGAAGCTGTCAGCGACGCGGTTTCCCACCTCTCGAGGTTGTCCGACTGCTCGACCCATATGTCCATCTGCCTCCCGACTTCCACCTTGAGAAATCGTCCGGCTCCTGCATCAACTGGCTGCACCTCGTCCGTGCATTCCGAACGGCCATACCAGGCGAGAGTGTTGCAGTGCTTCGCAAGATACTCCTTGAACTCGTCCGTGGTCGGCGCGTGCAAGTTGTCTACGATAAGAATGGACCTCGCCTTGGGGAGCTCACCCCGCCCGCGCATCAGGCCTTCGCGGTAGGACCTCTTCGCCCGCTCCATGCAGAACTTTTGGTCGGCCCACGCGTTATCCTGGAAAAACACGTCCACGTCCTCGTGATACGCTGCCTTCTCCACCGGCGAGATCCGCTTTCCCGTGCCTCGGAAAATCACCAAAATGCGCATGGTTTTCTCACCCGGACCAAAGGTGACTTGCATCGTGCACTGTCTTTTCTCTAGGCCAGCAAAGGGCTGCGAGATTGCTACCCGCAACGCACCTCTCTTGTCCCACGTTTCGAGCAGCCCGTTCACGAATGCCAAAGACACTTGATCCACATTCCAACGCTCCCAGAGCTGGAATTGACCATATTTGGGAACCCTGGACTCTCTCTCCGCGACCGTCGTGACTGCCGACACGTCGGACTCATCGGGCGCCCTGTACCGCACCGGCTCTTGCAGGAGCTTGCGAAACAGCCGGTGGAAGCGCTGGATCTTTGGAAGCCGTCTTCTACCGACTTGTTCTTGACGTTGGTCCGGCGTCTTTTGGACAGGTTATGCCTCTTGGCCCATTTTCGCGCCCACCTGAAGGATGCGCGGGAGGACGCCGCTCGTTGATCCCCGGGGTACATCTCTCGTACGAGCTTCCGGAACGTAATCGTCAGCCACAGGGTCGGCAACTTCAGCTTTCTCTTCCGCCGCTCCACGAACCCCTTGTACAGTCGCTTCTCTGCCCCAGGAAACGACCGCTGAGGCTGCTGTTTGGCGAGGAGGCTCTTCTTTACGCCATCGGCTGCCACCGCGACCAATTCCTTCTCGTTCTTGGCCCACTTCACTATATTGCTGTAGGGAATCTTGAGACGACCCTCCAAGAACTGAAGAGGCGTGCGCTGCTCCTCTTTCCAGAGGTCTTCGGCGTTGTCCTGGAAGATGCGCAGCTGGTTGACCGCGTGGGCTTTGAACCTGAAGTCGTATCGCCTGCGCTTGGGAGCCCGACGAGTGTCCTTGGGTTTGCGGCCCATAAAGCCGTCGCTATCCAAGTCGAGATCGAGAAAGCGCTTCCGCTGGAGGACAAACGAAGCCGTCCCCATCGCATGATCGAACTTCACGTGCCAACAACGCCCAGGCCCGGCTGCTTCCCACGGCAGGACACTCCCTCCGACATCCTTCCGTAACATGCACCGCAGCCGCACGCCGTTGGACATGTTTGCACTGCTGTGCTGCGTTCTTACGTAGATCCCAAGGCCTTGCTCGTTCACGAAGGTCGTGGGACAGTGAGGGCAAGATCGGCGGGACTCCGGGGTCGGAGGTGGGAAGCTTATACCGGATATGAGCTCTTTCACTCCACCGCAAGTCCGCTCAATCTGCATGGCAAGGTGGAAGCCGGGCGGAGTTGCCGGGGGGGTGATTCAACGAGTAACGTCATGTATCGTTCGCTATGGAGCATGGCGCTTTCGACCTCAAACCTCCGTGGAGAGCCGAAAGCTGCCTGTTTCGTTCGTGACTATTCAAACAAAGTATCAACCAGAGAACGTGCACTGTTGTGACGCCAAAACAAAGTCGCCGGCATCCCAACTAGAATATCTGTCTACACTTTTTTCTTTTAATGTTCTGGTCTTGCTTGAAAAAAAGGGGGATGGACGAAAATTTTATCCTATCATGTCTACACAGCAGCAGCATTCCACGAATCTGAAGAAGGCACAACTTTCCGGAGTATTTGCACCGGAGTTGGCTCTTGCTAGCAGACGCAGTTGACGAGAACTCGACACTCCTCCACTTGCTTGGGCACCTTCAGCAAGAAACGGCGTGCGAAACGCAGTCGTTGCCAGCAGAGGCCAGCCCCAAAACTACGAACTTTCTCCTTTATTTTTTTTGTTACGCGCCGCTACTGAAAAAAAGTGGCCCTCATCATGTCATCGTTTTCACCGGTAGCGAAAAGTAACTGTGTGCTCACCGGTCCTTGGCTGCCAATCGCGAACGCGTTGCAGATGTTGCCGCCTAAAGTGGCAGCTCTCTCCCTAGCTTGCTTCCCGCGATCCACGGCCTTTCTCCTCGCGGTACCTGCAGCAGCAGGTGGATGCTGAGACGGCGGTGCAGCACCTCGCGCGCTGCCGGCATCTTGTTGGGATGAAGAGGACAGGCGGATGCTGCTGGTAATACCCTGCGTTTCGCCGTCAATCTTCGTGACCCACTCTTCTTCGTCGAAGACACCGTTCTGCTTCAGCCCCCACGCGCTCTCTATTGCGTCCCGTCGCTCCTTCGCAACGGAGTTGCCCGCCTTCACGTGTGCTTTGATTGTCTCGAAGTGACGGTAAAGAACAAGACCCCTTTGTTTCAACTCTGCAAGTTTGCTAAGCTCTTTCAATATCCCATGGGATAAGGGATTGCACTGAGACATGATCCCCCTGCACCGCAGGCAGCTCCACAGGTGGCCAGTGGGCACGGTTACGGGGGGGTTAACGTGACATGTAACCCCTAGGCGTTGTGCAACCTGCGTAACCCGGTCGGGCGCACCTTCACCAACCTCCAAGGTTAGGCAGGGTTCCGAAACGCCGGTCCAAACCCAGTTAAGGGAAAATTGTATCCGTGCTTGGTTGCAGGCGAGGTTGTCCAAACCCGAGAATGTCCATGCCTTGCCGCGAAAACTATGTACCAGCCGGTGTCCACAGAGTACACGACACACCGATTTATCGGACATTCGCGGCATATATAAAAAAACAAAACTTCAAGAGTGCCGGCATTTGTTACAAGACCGATTATTTTATAGTTGACTACCGTTTCCCTTCTTCCCCTCGCTCCTCGACAAGCTTTTGCTTAGACATGGGTTGTAGCGAAGGGGGGGGTCTTTCTGGCGAGCAGGGCTAGACTCACCCTCAAGGGATGACCGAAACCTTCTTGCTGCTGCGCATAT